ATCTCATTTTGTCTGTCATAGTTGACGTGTACCTATGATGAAAATTACAGGCCTCTCTCATCTTTTTAAGTGGGAGAACTTGCACAATTGGTGGCTGACTAAATACTTTTTTTCCCCACTGTATGTGGGTCATACTGACGTGTCTATATACTGTAGAATACATGTTGGAGGAGAGACAGGATGATGGTATGTGGGTCATACTGACGTGTCTATATCCTGTAGAATACATGTTGGAGGAGAGACAGGATGATGGTATGTGGGTCATACTGACGTGTCTATATCCTGTAGAATACATGTTGGAGGAGAGACAGGATGATGGTATGTGGGTCATACTGACGTGTCTATATACTGTAGAATACATGTTGGAGGAGAGACAGGATGATGGTATGTGGGTCATACTGACGTGTCTATATCCTGTAGAATACATGTTGGAGGAGAGACAGGATGATGGTATGTGGGTCATACTGACGTGTCTATATCCTGTAGAATACATGTTGGAGGAGAGACAGGATGATGGTATGTGGGTCATACTGACGTGTCTATATACTGTAGAATACATGTTGGAGGAGAGACAGGATGATGGTATGTGGGTCATACTGACGTGCCTATTTTCCTGTAGAATGTAAATGCGTGAGGTTGAATGAGAGGAGGGAGGAAGTGGAAGGCTGGAAGCCACAGGAGGAGGTGTAGAGGGAGCAGGTATATAGAAGACTATAGAGGAGGTGTAGAGGGAGCAGGTATATAGAAGACTATAGAGGAGGTGTAGAGGGAGCAGGTATATAGAAGACTATAGAGGAGGTGTAGAGGGAGCAGGTATATAGAAGACTACAGAGGAGGTGTCGAGGGAGCAGGTATATAGAAGACTATAGAGGAGGTGTCGAGGGAGCAGGTATATAGAATACTATAGAGGAGGTTTGGAGGGAGGAGGTATATAGAATACTATAGAGGAGGTGTCGAGGGAGCAGGTATATAGAATACTATAGAGGAGGTGTCGAGGGAGCAGGTATATAGAAGACTATAGAGGAGGTGTCGAGGGAGCAGGTAAATAGTAAACTATAGAGGAGGTTTGGAGGGAGCAGGTATATAGAATACTATAGAGGAGGTTTGGAGGGAGGAGGTATATAGAATACTATAGAGGAGGTTTGGAGGGAGCAGGTATATAGAAGACTACAGAGGAGGTGTCGAGGGAGCAGGTATATAGAAGACTATAGAGGAGGTGTAGAGGGAGCAGGTATATAGAAGACTACAGAGGAGGTGTCGAGGGAGCAGGTATATAGAAGACTATAGAGGAGGTGTCGAGGGAGCAGGTATATAGAAGACTATAGAGGAGGTTTGGAGGGAGGAGGTATATAGAATACTATAGAGGAGGTTTGGAGGGAGCAGGTATATAGAAGACTATAGAGGAGGTGTAGAGGGAGCAGGTATATAGAATACTATAGAGGAGGTGTCGAGGGAGCAGGTATATAGAAGACTATAGAGGAGGTTTGGAGGGAGGAGGTATATAGAATACTATAGAGGAGGTGTCGAGGGAGCAGGTATATAGAAGACTATAGAGGAGGTTTGGAGGGAGCAGGTATATAGAATACTATAGAGGAGGTTTGGAGGGAGGAGGTATATAGAATACTATAGAGGAGGTTTGGAGGGAGGAGGTATATAGAATACTATAGAGGAGGTGTAGAGGGAGCAGGTATATAGAATACTATAGAGGAGGTTTGGAGGGAGCAGGTATATAGAAGACTATCTCCTCTCTCTTTCTCTTTCTTTACCCCCATCTCGCTCTCTCTCCCTCTCTCTCGCTCTCTTTCTCCCCTCTCTCTCTATCTCTCCCTCTCTCTCTCGCTTTCTTTCCTAAATCTAGGATCTCTTATCTGCATGTTTATGTACTGTATGTTTTTTATTATCCTAGTTCTATATGCAATACTTGTTGTTCTAGAAGTTATTATCCTAGTTCTATATGCAATACTTATTGTTCTAGAAGTTATTATCCTAGTTCTATATGCAATACTTATTGTTCTAGAAGTTATTATCCTACTTCTATATGCAATACTTGCTGTTCTAGAAGTTTCCTACTGCGGGCTTGGAGTGGATTACAGAGTATTACCGATCCATCCCAGATGTATGTGTGGCAGTTCCATGGAAGAGATCCAGTATCTGACTGGTCTAAAGGATGGTCCGTTGGTAAAATAAACACAACCATTCTGCTCAAAATATCTTGTCCTATACTAAAACCCTCAATAACATTTACAGAAAATCTGAACCGCAAGCTGTTAGACAAAAATTACTGCAGTGTTTTGAATTACGTTCTGATTGCGTATGTCATGTGGGTAGAGCAATGTGTAATTTATACTAAACCATAATTGCGCTCGACTCAACAACGTATGAAAAACATATCATTGGATAACATTTTTAGGAAGATGCATGATAAGTAGCTAGAAATAACTTTTGTATTTTAAAACATAATGTTTATGGACGTATTTAGGACACATTAACTGTCTACACAGCACTCTGCAATGTAAATTCACATTAGCAATTATTATGATTTATAAAGCTTTATGCAAATGAGCTTCCTTAATTAGAAGTTGAAATGTAATCTCTTCCAGGCTAACGGAGCTAGCGCAGTGATGTCGACGACAGGGAATTAACGAAACAAAAGCTCTGTGAAAAAATTCACTTTCTTCATCTTTTTAATTCCCAGTGTTTTTATGATCATGCTATCATGGGTTGGCTGCGAGGAAGGCTCCTGCTTCTTAGCTCGTCAGCTATAACGTCAGCTTCGAGGGGTTTCAACCTGAGTGGGAATATTACTTATGATCCAACGTTTCCTGGGTTGGATTAGTGGCTAGATTAATTATAAACCGAGACAATCACTACTACACTAAAATACTTCATAAGGATTCAAAAACAGAACATGCTGTGGGCTATATGTTTCCAAAGAATGTAATACAAAATAGGCTAAGTATGGGAAATGTTGATTGTCATTATAAACCAATGACTGTGGTATAGGTAGCTAGATAAATGGTGGAATAGAGAGAAATCAAGAGGAAAAGAGAGAGAGAGAGAGAGAGAGAGAGAGAGAGAGAGAGAGAGAGAGAGAGACAGGGAGAGAGAGAGAGAGAGAGAGAGAGAGAGAGAGAGAGAGAGAGAGAGAGAGAGAGAGACAAAAATAGAGTTCACCCTGGGTGACCATGGAGCCGTCATATCCACACACAGACACACACATAAGCAAACACACACACACACACACAAGCACACCGCACCATGCATACACACACACAGACACACACAAGCACACCGCACCATGCATACACACACACACACACACAGACACACACAAGCACACCGCACCATGCATACACACACACACACACACAGACACACACAAGCACACCGCACCATGCATACACACACACAGACACACACAAGCACACCGCACCATGCATACACACACACACACACACACAGACACACACAAGCACACCGCACCATGCATATACACACACACACAAGCACACCGCACCATGCATACACACACACAATGTTCAAAGCCTGCTTTATTTTTATAGTATAGGATCATATTTCCCTAAAATGCTGTGTATTCCACCAGCGCATGGCTTTTTAAAGAGTTGTGGGCAGAGAGGTCCGTTTGTGTGTGTGTGTGTGTGTGTGTGTGTGTGTGTGTGTGTGTGTGTGTGTGTGTGTGTGCGTGTGTGTCTGTGTACATGCGTGTGTGTGTGTGTGTTTAAAGAGTTGTGGGTAGAAGCTGGAGTCGTGTGTGTTCTGAGCTAGCTCTGCTTAACACTGATGACTGATGACTGACGTGTTTTGAAGGACTTGAGAAAATGAAAGGGACTAGAAATGTTTCATGTAGGAGACATTTCTTAAGAAGGAAACATTTCTCCCTGGAGCATAGCCATACCTTCATATCAGACATGAGGGATAATGTGTTTGGTTGAAGTGAAAGACATGGTCCGGGTTTCCCTCTTTTAAATCAATGGACAGTGAATGCATACTGTGGGGCTGTGCGTTTTTCCTGCTCATCGGACTAGGAATAACTCTTGGACCGTAGTTAGGAAAAGGGCCTTGAGTTTTCTCTGGTCCTATCAAGTGGTCAGAAAAACCTAAAGTAAGTAAGGAGGTATGTTGCGTTTGTCACAAAATGTCTGTGTAAAATGCTGATTTTCTAAACTATTTCCGAGTTTTCTATTCTACAGAAAAGGCCATCGATAATTAGTGTGACCAATGACTTATTTTCCCCATAGAAAATAAATCAAATCCAACATCAACAACAATTAACATTGGTTAATTATGATCATTTAGATCACCGCAAACATGTGTCTTCCCAACTCACAGGCAGCAATTAAAGTGTAATGGAGGTTCTCTCTGCACAGTGTGAGTGCTAATTTAAGGTCTTGGTTAGCATATGTCTGTGCTAGCGAAAAGCCCATAGGAATCATCAGCAGTGGTTAGCCACCTATGGTAGCTGTCCAAACACACTAAAACACTGACATAAAACATGTTACATTGCGTATACATGGTGCTGTGATTATTTAAAACCCTCAGAGATAACGAGAGCGAATAAGCAAGCGAGAGAGAGAGAGAGAGAGAGAGAGAGAGAGAGAGAGAGAGAGAGAGAGAGAGAGAGAGACAGAGCGAGACAGAGAGAGAGACAGAGAGAGAGAGAGAGACAGAGAGAGAGAGACAGAGCGAGACAGAGAGAGAGAGAGAGAGAGAGAGAGAGAGAGAGAGAGAGAGAGAGAGTAAGCAAGGGAAAGAGGCGAGGGTAAAGGAGAGGGTAAATTCTTTCCTCTTAAAACCAAAACTCCATGTAATTTTCAGCAGTTGCTGGATCAGGTTTTTCTGTAAAAAGCAACCAATTTATCAAAATGTTTGTGGTTAAAGGAAATATAAACAGGGCCAGTATTTCTCAAACCCACACACAATCCTGAGTTACACAGGATGTCAGATGTGTGAATAGTCCTCTCAGGGGAGACTGAGTGAACCGGTCCCAGGCTGGAGGCACTCTCCTGGGCATAGGGTTTAGGCATGACCCGCCTCTCTGACCCTACCATGGCGGTCTGAATGGAAGGCGAAGAGAGAGAGAGAGAGAGAGAGAGAGAGAGAGAGAGAGAGAGAGAGAGAGAGAGAGAGAGAGAGAGAGAGAGAGAGAGAGAGAGAGAGAGAGAAATAAATACACTACTACATCACTATCCCATACACAACACATCACACCCCTCCTGCACATCAACTGGTAACCTCACACCCCTTTACATGGACTTGGTACTGGTACCCCCTGTATATAACCAAGCTATCATTACTCATTGTGTATTTGTTCCTTGTGTTATTATTTTTCTATTATTTATCTTTATTTCTCTCTGCATTGTTGGGAAGATCCCGTAAGTAAGCATTTCACTGTAAGTCTACACCTGTTGTTTACCAAGCATGTGACAAATACAATTAGATTTGACTAAGAACACTGTTCATCTTTTTCACTTGTTATACAACAGTGCCCCCTGGTGCTCCAACAGCAGAATGCATCCGCATCCAGATCTACAATAAAACATCTAAATTAGGGCCTCCCAAGTGGCGCAGCGTTCTAAGGCACTGCATCGCAGTGTTGCGGCGTCACTACAGCGTCCCAGGCTGTGTCACAACCGGCCGTGACCGGGAGTCTCATAGGGCGGCGCCCAATTGGACCAGAGTTGTCCGGGTTAGGGGAGGGTTTGGCCGAAGGGGGGGCTTTACTTGGCTCGTTGCTTTCTAGCAACTCCTTGTGGCGGGCCAGGCGCCAGCAAGCTGACTCCGGTTGTCGGTTGAACAGTGTTTTCTCTGACACATTGGTGCAGCTGGCTTCCGGGTTAAGCGAGCGGGTGTTAAGAAGCAGTGCGGCTTGGCGGGTCATGTTTCGGAGGACGCATGACTCGACCTTTGCCTCTCCCGAGCCCGTTGGGGAGTTGCTGTGATGAGACAAGATCGCAATTAGATATCATGAATATATTTGCGATTTCGTTCATACTGGTGAATCTGTGCGTGGTTGAAATATCAACATTCCCTTAACTCTGGTATATCTTGGCATGCATCCATCATTCAAGACTAAGTTTAAATTGTGTGCAACACAATGGACATATAATGCACAATGTCTCAGGAAAGACTGTCTGGGTTGGCAATACTCAGTATAGAAAACAGTCCAGCCCGCAACCTGGACCTACAGGCCGTGGTGTAAACATTTGAACACAAAAATGCAGTCGCACATTGTAGCTACTAAGTAGAAAAACTCCTGAGTGGCGCAGTGGTCTCATGGGCGGCGCACAATTGGTCCAGGGTCGTCCAGGGTAGGGAAGGGAATGGCCGGCAGGGATGTAGCTCAGTTGATAGAGCATGGTGTTTGCAACGCCAGGGTTGTGGGTTCGATTCCCACGGGGTGCCAGTATAAAAAAATATATATATGTATTCACTAACTGTAAGTCGCTCTGGATAATAGCGTCTGCTAAATGACTTAAATGTAAAAAAGGAGAGACAGACACAGAGAGACTTTTCTCTGACCTTGCGGAGGTTCAGAGAAACTGCGTTACGCCAGTAACTCTCAGTCCTACGTCTGATGGATTTTGAAAAGTAATACAACATTAAATTGGACTTTATCATAGAATCATAGAATATACTTTGGTGAATGACAACTGAAATATAAACTTGCTTCTTTTGATCCATGCATGGGAAAGCTATCATTCACAGTGGTTCATATTACAGTGAGAGAATCTATTGGTTGTTATAACATATTTAACCATTGGCCATGTACCAAATGGATGATTAGGACATTTTAAAGATAGGCTTCGCCTGAACAAATCCAGTTTTGAGTTCCCAGGGGCCCCCTAAACACCCTAAACCTATATGAAACTGGGAGTTGATGTGCGTGAGAGAGAGGTACCCACTGCACCCAAAACCAGTAACTCTCTTCATCTCAGTCCATGAAATTGTGGCATTTCCTCAATAGCCTAGTAGTTTAACCTTAACTTTTCATAGTTAGGCAAACATTATGCACACATGCACAAACACACATACACATAAAATGCCCTTCACTGTCTGAACATATTGTTGTTAGGGACTGATTCGATATACCTATTTTATATATCACAAGCATGGAAATATGATATTTTACCAACATGTTGGCAGAAAAGTCAAATCAGGACTCCTGACTCTCCTGATGACTGTATATTTGTATATTTGTTTGAGTTCCATAGCAGATAAAGGAATGATATTTAGTGTTATCCTGGTGGGTTAATGATAGGGCTGTTTATTGGTGATACAGTCATTAGTTACAGAGATGAAAGGGTTAATGATAGGGCTATTTATTGGTGACATGAGATTAAATAATATAATGTAGAATTATAGTTGTTAACATTGTTTTTATTGATTACACGTGCAGTTCCTTCTTGTGTTTGGCCTTCATAAACAATGTGAGGATTTAATGGTACTAGTCTACTGTATTGAGGACATTTACATTTTAGCAGACACTCTTATCCAGAGCGACTTACAGGAGCAATTAGGGTTAAGTGCCTTGCTTAAGGGCACATCAACAGATTTTTTCACCTAGTCGGCTCGGGGATTAGAACCAGCGACCTTTCGGTTACTGGCACAACGCTCTTACCCACTAAGCTACCTGCCGCCTTTGAGGACAAGCTCAAAGGTGGTACAGTAAACTAATACATGATTGGACAACTTCGTCTGGATGCTCTGTCCATAGAACAAAACACTATTTTTTTTACGCTAAAATGCTATTCCCCCTTTCAAACTCCTGTCTCTTCTGAATGCCTTTTATAGTTATTTATTTATTTTATTTTTGGTCATTTAGCAGACGCTCTTATCCAGAGCGACTTACAGGAGCAATTAGGGTTAAGTGCCTTGCTCAAGGGCACATCGACAGATTTTTCACCTAGTCGGCTCGGGGATTAGAACCAGCGACCTTTCGGTTACTGGCACAACGCTCTTACCCACTAAGCTACCTGCCGCCCCATAGTTAAACATGTTCTATCTATACTGAACAAACATATACAATTGCAAAGATTTTACTCAGTCACAGTTCATATAGGGAAATCAGTCAATTGAAATAAATAAATGAGACCCTAATCTATGGATTTCACATGACTGGGAATACAGATATGCACCTGTTCGTCACAGATACCTTTTAAAAAAAGGTAGGGGCATGGACCAGAAAACCAGTCAAGTTTCTGGTGTGACCACCATTTGCCTCATGCAGGGAGACACATCTGCTTCGCATAGAGTTGATCAGGCTGTTAACTGTGTTTTGTGGAATGTTGTCCCACTCCTCTTCAATTGGTGTGCAAAGTTGCTGGATATTGGCGGGAACTGCAACATGCTGTCATACACGTCGATCCAGAGCATCAGGATCGTCACGGTATCTCTCTGCATTCAAATTGACATTGATAAAATGCAATTGTGTTCGTTGTCCGTAGCTTATGCCTGCCCATACTATAACCCCACCACCACCATGGGGTACTATGTTCACAATGTTGACATCAGCAAACCGCTCGCCCACATGATGCCGGTTGGACGTACTGCCAAATTCTCTAAATCAACGTTGGCGGCGGCTTATGGTAAAGAAATTAACATTCAGTTATTTGTCAACAGCTCTGATGGACATTCATGCAGTCAGCTGCCAATTGCATGCTCCCTCAAAACTTGAGACATCTGTGGCATTGTGTTGTGTGAAGAAAACTGCACATTTTAGAGTGGCCTTTTATTGTCCCCAGCACAAGGTGCACCTGTGTAATGATCATGCTGTTTAATCAGCTTCTTGATATAATATACCCCACCTATCAGGTGGATGGATTATCTTGGCAAAGGAGAAAAGCTCACTAACAGGGATATAAACAAATTTGTAGAGAAATAAGCTTTTTGTGCGTGTGGAACATTTCTGGGATCTTTTATTTCAGCTAATGAAACATGGGACCAACACTTTACATGTTGCGTTTATATTTTTGTTCAGTGTATAATACAAGTAAAACATATGAACAAAAACATATTAAGAGAAAGAAGACGATTATGTAAATTGTGCTTTGCCGTTGACAAATTGATAATTAAACATGGGTGGTAACTGTAATATTACAATATCTCCAAATTGGTATATTACTAATGACGTAAGGGTGATTTTAAACCCATATGGTTTGGAGCTGTGCTATGATTTATCATTTTCTTGCACCAAAGTCACAATAGGCTGCTATGCAAAGTGTCCTACTTCCTGCAATAGCGCGTGCACGCGTGCGGCGTTGTGCGTGTGTTTCACCTCAAGGAAAAGGTCAACTGATCTGTTTATTAATATTAAGACTAGTCACACACTGATGCTCCAATATATAACAAGTGTTATTTTTATCAACTTGCTTCAACTGACAAGGAAAAATACGCATTGCACAAAGTCTACTTCATGTCATATTGATAATGATAAAGAGCTGTTAATTTCAAAGAGAATCTGTTTTTTTTTTCATAACAACCAAGAGTTAACAAAGCCAGGTTAATAGAAATAATTGCATGTAACTAAGCAAGCGCATTAGATCCTTAGATGTATTAAATATTAGCATTGGTCAATGTTATTCAATCATGTAAATCGCTCTGTATAAGAGAATCTGCTAAATGACTCAAATGTAAATGTAAAAACATGTATTATATAAATGTTAAAATGTAAAACCAAAAATATCATATAAATGTAAAACAGAGCATGACAGTTGTCTATGTCACGTTCTCTTCACCCCGGTGAGGATGGGGTTCTCCTCATCAGGACAGTCTCTGGTTTCCAGAGCAACCCAGAGTTTCTGCCAGAAGACCTCGGTATGCTCCCCAGCTCTGGGCCAGCTCTGGGCCAGCTCTGGGCCAGCTCTGGGCCAGCTCAGGTAGGTGCGTCTCTTCACCAGCCTCCTCATGTGGTGGTAGGGTGAGAGCTGGTGGTCTGGGATCTCCTCCAGAAACACAAGGATCAGCACATCCTTCTGTTTGTCAAACAGACGGAAGCTTGAAAGAGCGTAGCCTTTTATTTCAGTGTTTGACCAGAGATCAATACACAGGGCGAGTTTCCCCAAAAGACTCCTATCTGTATCTAACATTGTTTTCCTCGACAACCCAGCCGAAAAAAAGAATACAAATGATCAAATGGATGTGTGACAGTCAATTGTCTGTGGGTGTAGAAACAACATTTGTCAAGTAAAGCATTTTGTTGTTCTATGAGTGGAGTGGGTTGGGCACATTGAGAGAAACAAAGTACTATTAGCTATGCCACTTTAGTGAAATCGAACCCCTGGTCAGTCATACAACAATAAAGAGAAAGACATTAAACCAACCCGGCCACCTGTATCTCTCTGGAGCACCACTCGATTTCCAGGTATTGGCCAGCTGATCACACAGATGCTTTTTCTGCTCGCGTAGACGGCTTCCGTGATGTTGCCTATGATGGGTTTTACCTGTGGAACAGTGAGAAACAAATCCTTTTGTAAGCAGTGATTTTTCCCAATGTACTGTCGCTACTAGTTGAATGTGTATGTACAGTAGTTACAGGGAAACATCAGCTGGCAACAGTTCTCCTTTTCAGACAAGACATTTAATGCTATACTGGAGTCAGGTCACTCACACAAGCCTGTGTTGTGTCAAAATATCAATTTAAAAATATGCACTGTCATATTTAGTGTCTGAAATAACAATGCATTTCAATACAATGACCAATTGTTGTGCTGCATACGGTATGTGGTACCTGGCTGGACGTCCCGGTGCTGCAGACTCAGCTTCCAGCCCTGCTCTCCCTCCAGCTCTGGCGGCAGCTCCCTCAGGATCCAGGGCTCATCGTGGGCGTTGTAGGAGACAAAAGGTGTCGTCCTGATGAGGAGTTTGGCTGTTCCTTTGCTTGGCGTCATGGAGATAAGCCAGGAAGAGATTGTGGGCGCAGACCACCTGCCACCTTAGGAGATAAAGGACCCCAGCGGGGTGACGAGGACCAGAGCAGTGGTGGAGATGAAGTAGGAGAAGCCCTTGTCTCTGAAGAGGAGTAGGTGTCCAGGTCAAACAGTTTAGTGTCCTTTAGATCGTACGGATAGCTGCAGGGATAGTCATGGGCATAAACAACTTGTATTTGGTTGTTTGGTTGTTGCTCTTAGCCCAAGCATTTCTACAGTCACAGATGAAAGGATTCCGCCGCGTATCCAGGAGAGTTAAGGCCGGGAGAGATGGCACCAGTGTCTCATTGATGGATGTGCTGTAAATTGATTCCGTGTCACCTGTAAGGAACTGACTTGAGTGAGGTTGGCTCTTTTTAGGAAATCAAAGGACTTCAGTCCAACTTTGGCTACAGAGAGACGTTGGAGCTTTGGGATTGAGTGAAACAGCTCTGGGGAGAATGAACGTGTCTATGAACCCATTCTTGCTAATGGCAAGGGACAACAGCTGGTGTGTGTGAATGAACGTGTCTGGGTAAAGGGACACAAGAAAAGATTCCCTGCATAGAACTCTGATACATTTTTCAGACCTTCAAGAAAGTTGGACGGCAGATAAGCTTGCATCTTGTATCTACTTTGATGCTGACTACAGATACAGTGGGGAAAAAAAGTATTTAGTCAGCCACCAATTGTGCAAGTTCTCCCACTTAAAAAGATGAGAGAGGCCTGTAATTTTCATCATAGGTACACGTCAACTATGACAGACAAAATGAGGAAAAAAAATCCAGAAAATCACATTGTAGGTTTTTTAATGAATTTATTTGCAAATTATGGTGGAAAATAAGTATTTGGTCAATAACAAAAGTTTCTCAATACTTTGTTATATACCCTTTGTTGGCAATGACACAGGTCAAACGTTTTCTGTAAGTCTTCACAAGGTTTTCACACACTGTTGCTGGTACTTTGGCCCATTCCTCCATTAAGATCTCCTCTAGAGCAGTGATGTTTTGGGGCTGTCGCTGGGCAACACGGACTTTCAACTCCCTCCAAAGATTTTCTATGGGGTTGAGATCTGGAGACTGGCTAGGCCACTCCAGGACCTTGAAATGCTTCTTATGAAGCCACTCCTTCGTTGCCCGGGCAGTGTGTTTGGGATCATTGTCATGCTGAAAGACGTTTCATCTTCAATGCCCTTGCTGATGGAAGGAGGTTTTCACTCAAAATCTCACGATACATGGCCCCATTCATTTTTTCCTTTACACCGATCAGTCGTCCTGGTCCCTTTGCAGAAAAACAGCCCCAAAGCATGATGTTTCCACCCCCATGCTTCACAGTAGGTATGGTGTTCTTTGGATGCAACTCAGCATTCTTTGTCCTCCAAACACGACGAGTTGAGTTTTTACCAAAAAGTTCTATTTTGGTTTCATCTGACCATATGACATTCTCCCAATCCTCTTCTGGATCATCCAAATGCACTCTAGCAAACTTCAGACGGGCCTGGACATGTACTGGCTTAAGCAGGGGGATTTGAGTCCCTGGCGGCGTAGTGTGTTACTGATGGTAGGCTTTGTTACTTTGGTCCCAGCTCTCTGCAGGTCATTCACTAGGTTCCACCGTGTGGTTCTGGGATTTTTGCTCACTGTTCTTGTGATCATTTTGACCCCACGGGGTGAGATCTTGCGTGGAGCCCCAGATCGAGGGAGATTATCAGTGGTCTTGTATGTCTTCCATTTCCTAATAATTGCTCCCACAGTTGATTTCTTCAAACCAAGCTGCTTACCTATTGCAGATTCAGTCTTCCCAGACTGGTGCAGGTCTACAATTTTGTTTCTGGTGTTCTTTGACAGCTCTTTGGTCTTGGCCATAGTGGAGTTTGGAGTGTGACTGTTTGAGGTTGTGGACAGGTGTCTTTTATACTGATAACAAGTTCAAACAGGTGCCATTAATACAGGTAACGAGTGGAGGACAGAGGAGCCTCTTAAAGAATAAGTTACAGGTCTGTGAGAGCCAGAAATCTTGCTTGTTTGTAGGTGACCAAATACTTATTTTCCACCATAATTTGCAAATAAATTCATAAAAAATCCTACAATGTGATTTTCTGGATTTTTTTTTCTAATTTTGTCTGTCATAGTTGACGTGTACCTATGATGAAAATTACAGGCCTCTCTCATCTTTTTAAGTGGGAGAACTTGCACAATTGGTGGCTGACTAAATACTTTTTTTCCCCACTGTATAAAGGATATTCAGAAAGTACAAGTATAATGAAGGGTGGTGGGTGGATTGGTTCATCTGTTTCATATTTGATAACATTGAAAACCATATTGAGATATTTTAAGCTTGTAAGTCCTTTGAACACAGCAGCTCTGATTTTGCTTTGACTGATGACATTGTTTTGCAGGATGTGTTTGAAGTTTGACCAAACCCTCAAAGGCCCCATCTTCCAGTGTCTTTATTTTATTGTCATTTGAAGGCAACTCCACAAGTGATTGTAAATTGTTTAATTTTTTTTTTTTTTTATGTCAATTAGTTCATTGAATCCTAAATGCAAGCTCTTTAGAAGTTGCAAACCCTTCGTAAAAGCATCACCCAAGTTTAGGATTCTGTTGTTTCCAAGTTTCAGGATATTTAAGGCCTGTTAAACACAGTCTTCAAAGTTAGAGATGAGATTGTTGTTAAGATTGAGTCTTGTTAGATTGGCAAAATTTGTGCAGGTGGGAAAGGGCAGTGTGGAGTGCAATAGAGATTGCATCATCTGTGGATCTGTTGGGGCGCTATACAAATTGCAGTGGGTCTAGGGTTTCTGGGATAATGGTGTTGATGTGAGCCATGACCAGCCTTTCAAAGCACTTCATGGCTACAGACGTGAGTGCTACGGGCCGGTAGTCATTTAGGCAGGTTACCTTAGTGTTCTTGGGTACAGGGACTATGGTGGTCTGCTTGAAACATGTTGGTATTACAGACTCAGTTAGGGACAGGTTGAAAATGTCAGTGAGGACACTTGTCAGTTGGTCAGCACATGCTCGGACCACACGTCCTGGTAATGCGTCTGGCCCTGCGGCCTTGTGAATTTTGACCTGTTTAAAGGTCTTACTCACATCAGCTACGGAGAGCTTGATCACACAGTCGTCCAGAACAGCTGATGCTCTCATGCATGCTTCAGTGTTGCTTGCCTCGAAGCGAGCATAGAAGTAATTTAGCTCGTCTGGTACGCTCGTGTCACTGGACAGCTCGCGGCTGTGCTTACCTTTGTATCCGTAATCATTTGCAAGCCCTGCCACATCCGATGAGCGTCGGAGCCGGTGTAGTACGATTCAATCTTAGTCCTGTATTGACGCTTTGCATGTTTGATGGTTCGTCGGAGGGCATTACGGGATTTCTTATAAGCGTCCGGGTTAAAGTCCCGCTCCATGAAAGCGGCAGTTCTACCCTTTAGCTCAGTGCGGATGTTGCCTGTAAGCCATGGCTTCTGGTTGGGGTATGTACTTACGGTCACTGTGGGGACGACGTCATCGAGGCACTTACTGATGACGCCAGTGACTGATGTGGTGTACTCCTCAATGCCATCGGAAGAATCCCGGAACATATTCCAGTCTGTGCTAGAAAAACAGTCCTGTAGCTTACCACCTGCGTCATCTGACCACTTCTGTATTGAGTGAGTCACTGGTACTTCCTGCTTTAGTTTTTGCTTGTAAGCAGGAATCAGGAGGATAGAATTATGGTCCGATTTGCCAAATGGAGGGCGAGGGAGAGCTTTGTATGCGTTTCTGTGTGTGGAGTAAAGGTGGTCTAGAGTTTTTTTTCTCCCTCTGGTTACACATTTAACATGCTGGTAGAAATGAGGTAAAACGGATTTCCCTGCATTAAAGTCCCCGGCTACTAGGTGCGCCGCCTCTGGATGAGCATCTTCTTGTTTGCTTATGTCCTTATACAGCTCGTTGAATGCGGTCGTAGTGCCAGCATCGGTTTGTGGTGGTAAATAGACAGCCAAGAAAAATATAGATGAAAACTCTCTTGGTAAATAGTGTGGTCTACAGCTTATCATGTGATACTCTACCTCAGGCTAGCAAAACCTTGACACTTACTTAATATTAGATTTCGAGCACCAGCTGTTATTTACAAATATACAATACCGTACAAAAGTTTGGGGTCACTTAGAAATGTCTATGAAAACATACATGAAGTGAGTTTGAATATGAAATATAGCAAAATGCATAGGAAATGTAATGATTGACAAGGTTAGAAATAATGATTTTTAATTGAAATAATAATTGTGTCTTTCAAACTTTGCTTTCGTCAAAGAATCCTCCATTTGCAGCAATTACAGCCTTGCAGACCTTTGGCATTCTAGTTGTCAATTTGTTGAGGTAATCTGAAGAGATTTCACCCCATGCTTCCTGAAGCACCTCCCACAAATTGGATTGGCTTGATGGGCACTTCTTACGTACTATATGGTCAAGCTGCTCCCACAACAGCTCAATAGGGTTGAGATCCGATGACTGTGCTGGCCACTCCATTATAGACAGAATACCAGCTGACTGCTTCTTCCCTAAATAGTTATTGCATAGTTTGGAGCTGTGCTTTGGGTCATTGTCCTGTTGTAGGAAGAAATTGGCTCCAATCAAGCACCACCCACAGGATATGGCATGGCGTTGCAAAAGGGAGTGATAGCCTTCCTTCTTCAAGATCCCTTTTACCCTGTACAAATCTCCCACTTTACCACCACCAAAGCACCCCCAGACCATCACATTGCCTCCACCATTCATGACAGATGGCATCAAGCACTCCTCCAGCATCTTTTCATTTGGTCTGCGTCTCACAAATGTTCTTCTTTGTGATCTGAACACCTCAAACTTCGATTCGTCTGTCCATAACACTTTTTTTCCAATCTTCCTCTGTCCAGTGTCTGTGATCTTTTGCCCATCTTAATCTTTTCTTTTTATTGGCCAGTCTGATATATGGCTTTTTCTTTGCAACTCTGCCTAGAAGGTCAGCATCCCAGAGTCGCCTCTTCACTGTTGACGTTGAGACTGGTGTTTTGCGGGTACTATTTAATGAAGCTGCCAGTTGAGGACCTGTGAGGCGTCTGTTTCTCAAACTAGACACTCTAATGTATTTGTCCTTTGGCTCAGTTGTACACCGGGGCCTCCCACTCCTCTTTCTATTCTGGTTAGAGCCAGTTTGCGCTGTTCTGTGACGGGAGTAGTACACAGTGTTGTACGTGATCTTCAGTTTCTTGGCAATTTCTCGCATGGAATAGCCTTCATTTCTCAGAACAAGAATAGACTGACGAGTTTCAGAAGAAAGTTATTTGTTTCTGGCCATTTTGATCCTGTAATCGAACCCACAATTGCTGATGCTCCAGATACTCAACTAGTCTCAAGAAGGACAGTTGTATTGCTTCTTTAATCAGCACAACAGTTTTCAGCTGTGCTAACATAATTGCAAAAGGGTTTTGTGATGATCAATTAGCCTTTTAAAATGATAAACTTGGATTAGCAAACACAACGTGCCATTGGAACACAGGACTGATGGTTGCTGATAAATGGGCCTCTGTACGCCTATGTAGATATTCCATTAAAAATCAGCCGTTTCCAGCTACAATAGCCATTTACATAATTAAGAATGTCTACACTGTTTTTCTGATGAATTTGATGTTATTTTAATGGACAAAAAAATAACTTTTCTTTCGAAAACAAGGACATTTCTAAGTGACCCCAAACTTTTGAACGGTAGTGTAGCTAAATACCACGGGAGTCGTCTACACAGACCGCCACCCCTTGTCTTATTGGAGGCAGCTGTTCTATCTTGCCGATGCACCGAAAACCCCGTCAGCTGTATGTTATCCATGTCGTTGTTCAGTCACGACTCGGTGAAACATAAGATATTACAGTTTTTAATGTCCCGTTGGTAGGATGTTCTTGATCAGAGCTCATCCATTTTATTATCCAATGATTGTACGTTGGCTAATAGGACTGATGGTAGAGGCAGAGTACCCACCTGACCTACACTACATGTCAAAAGTTTTAGAACACCTACTCATTAAAGGTTTTTCTTTATTTTTACTATTTTCTACATTGTAGAATAATAGTGAAGACATCAAAACTATGAAATAACACATATGGAATCATGTAGTAACCCAAAAAATATATTTTATATTTGAGATTCTTCAAATAGCCACCCTTTGCCTTGATGACAGCTTTGCACACTCTTGGCATTCTCTCAACCAGCTTCATGTGGTAGTCACCTGGAATGCATTTAAATTAACAGGTGTGCCTTCTTAAAAGTTAATTTGTCTAATATCTCCGTCTCTTCTTCATGCGAATGATGTAGATTTGGGCCTTGTCGGGTGTCTGAAGTAAATCCTTCGCGTCCGACTCGTTAACCTCTACGGGATCGGTTTTCAGTATACGGGACGGTTGAGCTAACGTGCGCTAATTTGATTAGCATGACTGTTGTAAGTAACAGCAAACTTTTCAGGACATAGACATGTCTTATATGGGCAGAAAGCTTAAAGTCTTGTTAATCTAACTGCACTGTCCAATTTACAGTAGCTATTTCAGTGAAAAAATAACATGCTATTGTTTGAGGAGAGTGCACAACAACAACAAACTTATCACGGCAACTGGTTTGATACATTCACCTCTGAAGGTAAATATCGTACTTACATTCAGTAATCTTGCTCTGATTGGTCATCCTAAGGGTCCCAGAGATAGAATGTAGCATAGTTTTGTTTGATCAAATCCATTTTTATATTCAAATGTAGGAACTGGGTTCTACAGTTTTGAACCACTGCTGTCTTTGGCTCCACACCCACCCCACCTGGTCATCTAGATGTGTGAAAGTTAAGCTAATAAGCTAATGAGCCATCATGTATGATATTCCTGGGAGTGTGTAAACTTACATTTTGTATAACTATATAATTTTTGTATGTTCTCTATAGTTATGTACTTGAAAAAGTATCAATTGGGCACATTTGGGCAGACCTGATAGAAAATAGTCCAGTATTGCAATGCTTCACTAGATCAATCTGAAACTTTGCACACACACTGCTCCCATCTAGTGGCCAAAATCTAAATTGTGCCAAAACTGCAATATTTTATTGTGGCCTTTCTCTTGTATTTCAAAAATTATTTAAAAAACAAACAAAAACAATGCATGTTTTTTTGTTTGTATTATCTTTTACCAGATCTAATGTGTTATATTCTCCTACATTAATTTCACATTTACACAAACTTCAAAGAGTTTCCTTTCAAATGGTATCAAGAATATGCATATCCTTGCTTCAGGTCCTGAGCTACAGGCAGTTAGATTTGGGTGCCATGTCATTTTAGGTGAAAATTGGAGAGAAAAAAAGGGTCCAATCCTTAAGAGGTTGAAGAAAAAATATTCTTCCAGTATGAGGTTAGTAATCGCTGTCCTGATACCCAGAAGCTCTTT